CTCAGAATAAGTTTTTGGCAGCAGCCATTGAACTGTGAGCTCTGCACGGAAGCTTTTGTGAGAAATTTGAGGTGAAGTTAATCACTGGTGCATGCGTATTCTTTTTATCTGAAGTTAATCACTAAAGTATATCATATTTTATTTTTTTTCAGCTTCTGAGTTTTGGCTCAAAGTTGAAGCTGTTGTACTTTAATTAAATACTTAGAGGTTATAAAGGAAATATAATTTTAAAAATTGAGTCCAACAATTTATTTCAAATTGGTTGGATTTATTTTCTGGTGCTGCTGATGAATTGAAAACAAATTATTTATTTGGCTCTGGTTTTTTTAGTTCCTAAATGATGGTTTTTTGGAAGTTCCACAAGTGCAATAGTTAATACATTCTTAGTTGGTATCGGTTTTATTTGAAATCTTGCAAGGGGTGATGGATGATATCCATGTGGTCTAATTTTTTCATGTAAGTAAATAGTGTGAATTGCCCTGTGTTCTTTTCCAGCACGTGTGGTGTTGAAGGGGAGGAGGATAATGGAGGAAAAGTTCATTTCTTCAGCTCTGAAAATAACTGAGTGCATTAAACATTGTAGACACTTGTACAGCACATTAGTAGCCTGAATGGAAATTATCCTGTACGGCACAGAAATTCAGGGTTTAAGCAGACTAACTTTAAGTAATAGATAATAGTAGCCACTGTGGGCTGCCCCATCAATAGGAAAAGAGGAAAATTGGCCGTTCCTTTCAAAATAGAAAGTGCAAGAAATAGTAAAGCCAGGCCTATCTTCAGCAATATGTCACCTCTTACTCTATTAAATGTCACTGTCTCAGCTCATGCGGTGGCCCTCTGAGTCTGTAGGTGGAGATCTGCAAAGCTCTATGATTCTTCAGTGATAGGTAAATAAATAGGAGGTTTCTTGCTCTGCATGACCAGAGACTGGCAGTGACTATGGTGAGAACTGGAAAACCCCTCCAGGCACTTTGAATCTCTTCATACCTTGGCTCTTGAGAGCAAAATATTCATACAGCTAAACACAAAGACAAGGAATGGGGGTCTTCTCTGTAGCCCCCCTATTCTCTGTCTGGGAAAGCAGCAGCTCTGACAAAAAACTAGTGCAGACCTAGAATTCATTACAAAGAGTAGACTTGAAGTGATTTTTACCTCCGCATAAGCCATGCAAGACCTGCAGTGGGAAGGTACATCTGGGACTGATGTTAGCACTTGTAAAGCGGCTTAGGAAAATGGGATGGGACTCCAAATGCTCCCCAGGCAGTTTTGAGAACTGCAGAAAATGCCTAACCAATAGAGCTGTGCCTCCTTGCTGCTTAGCTTACTATCAAAAGGAAGATTGGGAGGTAACTTAATTAGTGTGCAAAATACTTGCTCAGGGAGAAGATACCAGGTTGCCAAAGAGATCTTTAATCTAATGGAGACAGGCATAACAATACTAATTGTGAAGCTGAGGCTGAATGATGCAGATAGAAAATGAGACCTTGAATTTGGTTAATGACCACTGGCACAAACTGCAAGCACAGTCACCTACCAAACTACCAAGTTGCCCACCTTTGTAGAGCATCCATGTTTAGCCTACGTGTGCTGCTGGGCTAAACGCTGAGTTAGTGTCCTGGTTCCAGCGTTCCCCCCTGGAAGGGAAAATCCTGTCAGCTGCGTTAGTAAATCAGGCCAAGTGTAGTCCCCGCCAGCCTTTGTTCTGCAGCTCTGGAACTGGGTACTCAGCAGTGGGACAACTGGAGAGGACTGGCCTGAGGCAGGCGCAGTGCCGGCAGCTCTTTGCTGGCTTCAGTTTTGCCACTGCACAGCCCTTCTGACTGGAATGCTTCAGAAATGTTCCGGTCAGGAGAACTGACCTCTCCATCTCTATTTAAGCTTTACCCCAGTTAAAAAAACTAAACAAAACAAAACCAACAACAAAAAACCCGCTATTTAAATTCTCTTCTAAACAATAATTGTTCCTAATTATTTAACACTTCTAGTTCTAAATTCTTAAAGAACCAACTGAGACTTTACAGTCGGCAAAGTTGTATTAAAATATATATCCTCTTATTAATAACCAGGAGATGGCCACACGTCATTATTGTCTCACCACAGCGAAGTCCATGAGTGCTCCTCTAACAGTTAACTGGTCAGCTGGGTATCTTAATACTTGGCCAGATCTTGAGCTCAGTCACTGCCAGAGGCAGAAGCCAAACTGAATCCTCATTGTGAAAAAAAACAGAAACCCCAGATCTACCTACTGAGCCAGGAGTTCCTGATTCTCACCGTATGCTTCAAAGTGGTGCATGACCATCATCCAGCTTGCATGTACGTGTGCAAGGAGCTGCATCAGCTGTTGCCATCGTAGTCTTCAGCAGTGATTTAGCATTATGTCTTCTGCACAAAACTATGCTGCTTCCATTTTAACATTTTATCTTTTGTTGTCCAGATGAGCACTATGCCAGGACTTCCCACAAGACCCTGTTTCTACGATATAGACTTGGACCCAGTGTCAGGAGCAGTAAATGGGCTCTTTTGAAAGGAATTATTAACCAAAGGTGAGTACCTTCTTGAAGGCTTTCAGTATTTGGGCTTTATTTCTTGTCTTAAGATAATGGAGTTAAGCCAATCTCACATTATGCCATAAATTTCCAAATGACATTTGATTATAATTCATCCTGAAAGTTGCCTGCAGTACTATATAATAGTAATTAAATTTATTTTTTCTTTTTAGCTCTGAGAACACCTGATGAGTCATGTAGACAGAACCATGCCCTGATTTTTTTTTTAAGTCAAAACAAGATATGACTGAGAACATAGTGCAAGAAGTGACTGGAAGGAGGAGTGCTAAAGAATCAACCACTTAGTTTTAACCTGTAGTAATTTTTAAACTGCTGTGTTCTGAGCTAGGTGATGCTGAGCACATAAAGCATACTGCCTGTACAAACCTCCTGCTTGATCATTGTAGGTGAAGCAGAACACAGAAGCTGCGGTTTAGTGACCTCTTTTGATTCAGTTACATGATTTTAATAATTAAAATCCTAAAGCTGGAGCTGTTTGAAACAGTCTTGGGACTTAATTGTCTTAACCATAGGGTTTTTGTAGCATATATTATCTTTGAAAGTCTTGTACACTGCACATTCCTATTTGCCATACTGAATTCCATATTCCACTTCTCACGCTACGGGAGAAACCGCTGCGCTCTAAAACTGCACCAATGTCGTTTAGAAGAGGGAACAGAGAGGAATCCCCTTTCCTTCTCATCTCTCTCCAGAAGTGTTTACCCTGGCTTCTGCTGTGAATTATTCCTGCAGGCATCACATGAAATTTCCCTTTCAGAAAGCCCAGCTGACACTACCATATTCTACTGCTAGTGGAAATCCAGCCTCTGGATATCAGGGTCTGGATCTCTGTCCCATATCTGTGGCTTCTACCAGATGTGTCTTTTGAACAATTTTATGCTCGACAATAAGTAGAGTTACACCACTAACAAGCCTTGTTTCCTAAGGTACCTTTTTGGTGAACAGGACAACATGAGTAGTGAGCAAGTCGCTTGTAGCATGTTTTGTCAGCAGGCCAAAAATCATTTTGTAACATAAAGATATCATTGCTGCCAATTTTTTAACTAACACAAATAAACTGGTAAATACTTAGTGCTTTTTGGGTTTTAATGTTGTGCGCCGAGATTACTGAAGTAGAGCTTATTTTTGTGATTAACTCTACACAGCCGCAATCCTCGTATTGACAAGTCGGAGGGATTATTGCAGTAATAGGCTGCCTGCAATGCACCACTGTGTGTGTGCGTTTAATCTTGTTTCCTTTCCTAGATGATGTTTGTCATCTGTAGGAAATAAACTACCTGAATTATCCCATGAATTTGAGATACTTTTAGTTGGCTGCAAAAGATCTGAATTAAGACTGGCAAGGCCCGTCTGCTTGCATCAGAACTGAATCTAAAAACATTCCGATTTTGGTGAGAACTGGGAGAAGCAGGATGTAGGTGTGCACCAACGTAAGGGCGCATCTATAGTACACAGATACTGTGCATATATGTGGAGAGAGAGAGAGAGATCTATATCTCTCAAGTTATTCAGGAGGGGAGAATAATTGTATAAAAATTACCTGCTTGTCACAGAAGCAAAGACAGAGTAGCTTAAATCATCATAAAAGCATTTGAGATGCATTCATAGCCTCCTAAAATTTTCTTTTCAATGGCATTCAGCTGAGGAATTATTGGCAGCCAGGTTTGCCAGACCACGCACAAGCCACTTGCAGGGGGTCAGAAGGGGTCTTCCCCCATTGCTGCCCCAGACCCCGTGCCTGGCTGAAGGTGCCTCTGCACCTGCGGCTCCTCGGCCGAGCCTTCCCTTGAAGCAGGGAGCCAGAGCCGGTGCTGCCAAGTCTGCTGTCAGTTCCTACATTTAATCTTCCCTGCTACACTGCTTTCCTGCGAGTGCCTTGTGTTCCACCTTCATTTTATGCTTATGAAAGATGGGATAAGTGCAAATTTATGCTAAGATTAGCCTCCTTTTAGTTTAGCATGAGATCATAGACATGTGCTTGAAAGGGATGGTTCAAGAGGTTGCTATCCACCTCCTGCAGTCAGGCAACGCAGCGGCTCAGGCAGGCAACTGTGTGAGGGTTGGCTGCGTGGGGGGGACTGGTGGGGGCATAGGGCCAAAGTATAAGGGCCAAAAAATAGCCCCAAGCATCTCTATGGATTAGTGGGGAAGCTTTTCTAACCTGCATTTTAAACCTAATGGGATGTGAGCTCTCCGGTGTCCCTACTACAGGTCTTGCAGGACCGATTCATAAATAGGTTGGTTTTTTGGTCTCTCCTCTGCAGCCAAGGATGCCGGCTAGTTCTTGCCCTGTCAAATAGGACACAAAGGACACTTAATCTCTTCTAGCTAAATATTGCAAGGTTGTCTTTGCTTCCTGTTGCCTAGAGAAAAAACTAATTATGTACAAATTCGCTCTTTGTGGGCTATTTGTGGGCCCAGAGCCCTTAGCTGGTGTTATGGCCATCGGTTCCCCCAGCTGTGCTGTGATGAGAGCCCTGCATCATGTCACATAAGAAGTAACACAGATTTTTGTTTTGCTAGCAATAGGGTCAAAATAAAAAGGAAAAAGCCTTCCCTGACTGGCTTGCTGCACATCACTAGCACGTCAGTGCGAGCCCAGAAATAAAACTGGAGCCTACAGCTGGGCTGGAATATTCTTTCAATTTTATTAGTTTTCTGACCAGATCCTCTGCTTGCTGCTGGACCTGTTATTTGTCTCCCTTGCACCATGGCTTTTGGTGCTACCATCCATTCCCTGGAGTGGCAGGAACAATTGAATTCCGTGTAAGGTGTTTGCAAATGGGATTGATGAGAACCTGCGTCCTTCATGCCACCCCCGAGGCAGCACGCACTTTAGCCATGCTCGTCACCGCTGCCTGCTTCCCTCCTCCTGCATCCAGCTGCAACGAGGGAAATCTCCTCACGCCGAGGGGCCTTGCTCAGCTTTCATGCAGCGGTGGGTCATAATTAGAGCTGACCGTGCTGCCCGGGGAAACAAGCTGTTTCCAAATGAAGATTATGATCCTGAGTGAATACAAGCAAACGCATCTCATAGGGGAGCTTTTAAAAAGGTAATTCCTTGTGGTGGCTTGATCCGTGTTTCTGTCCTACTGGCTGAAATTTCAGCCAAAAGAACCCATTTTATCCCTTTTTTTCCATGAAGAAGCTAGGGAGGGGGAAGGCCATGTGTATTTTTCTAACAGCTGCCCTACACTGGCAGCCACTTGCAGGTTCCAAGTGTGCTGCTTCGCCTGGTTTCTTATGTACAAACACGCTGTGAAGTAGTTAATGTCCTTAAAATGTTTGTGGGCGTCAGTCAGTTCCCCGTGGAGATGAATGGGAATTTTCAGGCATGTCGAACTATAGCTTCATGTAGTTCATCAGCTGCACTTGGTAGTCCTCTTTCTGGAGGCCCTCCCATCAATCATAACAGCTGGAGATGCAATTTATTTTTTTTTTTTTAAGTCAGATCTCAGCTGCTTTGGAGAAAAAAGGCTTATATGAAAAAGGCACTTTCTCTGGTATTTTGGGCAAGGATTAGATTAAACCCAGGAACTGGCTGTTCTTACGAGCGCCTCTGAAGGTGTAGCTCCTGCAGTGACCCAAACTGTGTGTGCTTAAAGCTGCAAAGGTTTCAGGTGGCACCTGAAGAGAGCCCCTCCCTTCCCACAGAGCCAGGCAAACGCCAGATCCATAAATGCCAATGGTCCTTTCTGGCCACATGTCCACTCTCTTAGAGCGCATCTTGCTGCTGTTGGGACCCAATTGAACACCACAGCTCAGTCCCTAGGAAGACCTTTCTGCTTTGAGTGTAGTTGGCAGTTTGCATGTCTGCTGCTGCTGTGCAGAGCCTGGGAGGGGAATCACAGGATCAGAGAACAGTTTGGGTTGGAAGGGACCTTAAAGACCTTAAAGTTCCAACCCCCTGACATGGGCAGGGACACCCTCCACTAGCCCAGGTTGCTCAAAGCCTCATCCAGCCTGGCCCTGAACCCCTCCAGGGATAAGGCGCCCACAGCTTCTCTGGGCAACCTGTTCCAGGAAGCAAGGGCAGCTCTGCAAGAGGGAGATGCAGAGGGACCCGCCCCCCACGGAGGGTTTTTAAGGGGGGGGGGGGGGGAAGGCTGCCTTGCCCAGAGGGGTGCTGCCCCGCTAGAAGAGGGGGTGCTATCCCATAAGAGAGAGGGATGCTACCCGCCAAAAAGCACGGGATGCTGATCTGCAGTCAGGGAAAGACGCTTCCCCGCGGTCGGAGGGGT